TGTGGATGAAGGGAGAGAGAAGGGGGGGAAGATTACTTCGTCCCACGTTGGTCGCCCTTCCGATGGCGCACACCTAACAAAGGCCTAAATGGCCTTAAGCTCTAAAAGAGACTGAGTTCGCCCTCACGATCTGTGTCTCTGAGGCGTCTGATAGCTGCGAGTGTATAGATCTCTGTGCGTAATGACGCGGTGTGGAGTTGGTCTCCAGATTACGTTTACACGGGAATATGTGTGTATGTGTATGTTCGTAGAAGGGGAAATAAAAGAGAATAAAAGAGAAATGCGTGCCTGAAGAGGCCGGATCACAGTCCGACTCCCGCGCCACAACTCGGAGTAATTCCCTTCATTCACAGAAACAAACCAATAGCCGAATTCAGGTTATACGGCTTACACTGGCCTTTCTGATCAGAAGAGTAATACCCGGTTATAACGCTGTTACGCTAAACACATATAGACGCAGCGGTCCGAAACAACAGAGTTTTAAACAGGTAAAACTCAGGACGCAGGTCCAACAAAGATAAAAATTACAGTTTCTGCTTAGATCAACAATTGTTAAAAAACACTCTCTAAAGCTAATTCTGCCCAGACCTAATTAAGCCTCACTTGTGAATCGCTTTGTCCGCCATTGGTGAAAGGAAAAGAGTCCGGCGATGGAGCAGATCTTCTGTCCGTCCTGGTGCAGAGGCGTCTGATGGCGGCGAGGGTCCCTTACGGCGAGAGCGGCTTCGTTGTTCTCCGTCGAGTGGAAAGATGTCCGTTGATGTCCTTTCGTTGCAGGACGGAATAAGACCGTTATTCTTTCTGATAATCTGTTATAGTCTGATGCTCTCTGAGAAACTGAGATGCGTTCACTGGACAATCCGAGCTCAGAATTTAGAACACTGCCGGCCGCGATTACCTGCGCGCCAAAAACTTAAAACAAAGGAAGATTGTTGCAGGAAACAGGAGATCTTCTTGGGTCTCCGAGCACCAAAGTCAGCGCGTGAAAGAGGAGCGAGCAACGGAAGTCTTGGAGCTTTGTAGCCTGGCTGCTCCATGGGGTCTACTCAGGTCCCCTCCAATGAGGAGAGAGAGGTTCCGGTCCCCCTTTACTTCACGCGTAGGTGTGAGTACCGCAGGGGATTCTGGGATTAAGAGTCCTTTTAGGCCTCTTTGTGATCTCAGTGAATAACTCAAATGAGGCTTTTACAAAGGTACAGGCCAAGTCCATTGTTTGACTGTCCTAAGCCTGCGTGGCCCAACATATTCATCTTGACACAGCCAGGTTTCAGTCAAAAAAGGTAAATCAATATGCTGATCTGATATCAGATCATTCACTAAAAGAGATTTGGATGCTAAGGACCTAATGTTCAAAAGTCTGCAGTGAATCTTCTGATTTTTTTAGCAAAATCGTATTCGTAGTTTTGATTGTAATGAGATTTTGATGATTTACGCCTTTTCTTTCTTCGTTTGGATGACTTACAAAGACGGGTCTGGGCCGGGGGACAGACACAGTACCTATAGTATGACTACAGTTAGATTCAGAATTACAGCTATAGTGACTGGGAGACAGATCTAAGTGTAAGACTGCAGCTCTGCCTCCTGGTCTGAACTCTGTGTTGTTGTCAAGGTTTTGGATTAATAACCTCTGCTATGTTTCTAGATAATAGAGCTGCACCGTCCAAAGTGGGATGGATGCCGTCTCTAGCTAGCAGACCAGGTTTTCCCCAAAAAGACTGCCAGTTATCTATGAAGCCCACATCGTGTGCTGGACACCACCTCAACAGCCAGCGGTTGAGTGATGACATGCGGCTATACATGTCATCACTGGGTCTGATTTGGGAGGGGTCCAGAGAACACTACGGAGTCCGACATCGTCTTAACAAAAGTACACACCGACTCCACATTAACCTTAGTGACTTCCGACTGGCGTAGTCGGGAGTCATTAGTGCCGACATGAATTACGATTGTATCAAATCTACCTTTAGTCTTTGTCAGCAACTTTAAATGAGATGCGATGTCGCCCGCTCTGGCCCCGGGTATACACCTAACTATGCCCGCTGACTTCACTAGCTTCACGTTTCGGACGATGGAGTCTCCAATAATCAGAGTTTTATTCTCTGTGTGTCGCTGAGTGGGGAAAATTAGTTTGATACGTGAAGTGGTTGGTGGGGAACCGTGCTGCTCGCTGCTCTGCTCGGGTGCTGCTCGCTGCTCTGCTCTAATAGTAGAGCAGAGCAGTCCTCTATTGTTGTCCAAATTTAGGTTGAAATTCGAATGAAGAGCAGATATACACTATATAATGTGTACTTTAGAAATGTCTTACCATGGTTTAAAGAACAGTGATTCTGTCAAATTCAAAGTCCTGGCAACAATTGGTCTGAGGAGTTAGAACCGTTAGAACGGCCTGCGCGTCACTTTTTTTTTTTCTTTTTTTTTTTTTTACTTAGGATTTACAAAATGAAATTCATAAATTCAATGAACATGATCTAATCTCACAAAAGTGTGAAATAGTCAACACAATTAATTTCTGCAAGTTTCACTTTTGAAAACTCATAAATGTAAGTTAAAAATCTAAAACTTGAGTCGGTTATGTGAGTTAAAGAAAATAAGTTCGTGGAGATAACTAAATTGGGCTGTGATGTTTTACAGTGTATACTTAGTACATATCAATCTTAATGTTGGGCAATTCCAACTATGTGTGAATAGGCTCCTATACTGACTTTGTTAAGTGATATATAACTTAAATTGTATGAATTGGAATTTTAAATCAACATCATTGCAAAGCAGTGCATGCCCTCAATGATTCCTCAAGATTAAATAAAAGTTGAATGAATGAATAAATCAAATATTAATCAGAAACAATCACAAGATTTCTTAACCTTAAAAAAATACAGACATAATACATGTAAATATACCTAAAATGTACAAAAATATACAACATAAATACATTGTTGATTTCACAAATGCAAATGCAAAAACAGAATGAAGCAATACTCATGAAATGAATATAGACTGTGTGTAGTATAAATCACTCTGTAGGCCTTTTTTTTATCAACACTGCCATCAAGTGGTGATAAAGACATAAAGTGAGACGATCATAAGATGAATACTATGGAAGTGATTAGAACTCTGTTTTTTTATTTAAATAAAAATGCACATTCTTTGACTAAATTAAAATGAAAAAGAAAATTACATTTGCTTTTTCAGTTTAAAAAATGTGCATTTTTGAAGTTGAAAACTAAAATTCTATTCAGATAAATTAGTCATAATTTTATTTTTGAGTCAAATAATACTCCCATATTCTGAAAATTAAAAAACATTTCTGTTGATGGATTTTAATTTTCAAATTAGCTTTATCATTTGAATTCTGATCACTAATCGCTTCCATACAATACTATCTACATTCTGTAAACATGTTTAAGACACAAACCTTACAAACCTAAAGAAATTAAAAATACATTCAAATATAAATTGTTTGTAAATGAGAGACACAACGAAAGCATACTGCTCCTGTTTCTTTAACAGCCCGCACAACCTTCAAAAAAAGATTTGGCATCGTGACAAAACTGTCAAAGCCCAGTTTCCTGTTTGATTTCAAACTAAAAGCACAGAGGCTAAATACAAAGAGCAGGTGAGTGAAAATAAATAAATAAATAAATAAGACAAAACCTATTTAATTTTTGTTTTTAGTTAAAACGGACTGTCTTCTATTGATAACATCTGTACACCGAAGCTGGGAAACACACCTTTTCAGGTGGGCACCTGAGAGCAGATGAACAAACAGTGTGTCTGCATATAAAACCAATAGTTAACATTGTTCCGTCCACATATTAAGAGATATTTGAAGTTTGAAAAAGTAGCCTAACTTAAGCCGTGTAGCCTCGCATGTAGGCGTCGTGACTACACAATAGTCGAGCTTCTACCTTATTGTGAAGGTCGGAGACCGGAAGCTCAGGTGTTAACACCTGGACGAGATACTTTCGTTTAGAACCTTGCCTGTTTGTCTGCGTCCTACAGCCGCGCCCCTTTGTGTTACCTGAGCCCGACTGCTCCAAGAAGTGTTGACTTGATCCTGTTCTGACTTGTTGGAAGGAGAAATAACAACCCACGAGTTGTTGGAGTTAAATCAGAGAGTAAAAGTGTTTTTTCTGTTCCTGCACCCGAGACGACAAAGTGAAAGTACAGGTACACTGAAGGTACGACGGCGGCTGCGGAGCATACCTGTGATTATTCTGCTGCTCTGCAATGGGTTGCTTTTATTTCCTGGCCTCGTTCTTATTTACCTCCTGCCTCGGTGAGTTTTTCTTCTTTAACATTCTGCTGTTTTTATCTTGAGACTTAATGAACCTACAGAGCTGCAGACCTCACCACGAGCAGGACCAGACATGTTCAGTAATCATTAATACAAAGAGGGTTCAATAGTTCACTGCAGCTAAAAACTGTTTCCTTATCAGACATGTACATAAGTTTTGACCTGTGCAGTATTTTTGCTTTTAAAAATGCATAATTCACATGTTTATTATGAAGTAATAGACTTTATAGAAACACAGCATTACTTTGATACGTTTGTTAATAACAGACTAAGAAATACACCTGATGATATTAGTCTATTTCATGTTTACTTTTATTTGTTTTAACTTTGTATTCAAATGTTTAACATCGACTTTACACTTGTTACACATGAACAAACTAAACACACATCTTCACCACTCTTTACTCAGCATGTATCATCATGAAGTGTTAATCCTGGGACAATGGCAGAGACGTGTTCTCTGGTCATTGTTCAGGCAGAAGTTTGACATATTTTTACTGATTGGAATCATACTGAAAGTTTTGACAGATAGATCTTGATGCATGGTTTTGTTCTCCGACTTAGAAAATATTCAATTCATGTAACACAAATAAAAGCCGGACTATCTCACAATTAAGACACTGGAACAAGGATTCTGGAAACATAAGTTGAAGGAGAATTTGTTGTTAGTCAGGGAGGTGTTCAGGTACAACTGCTTGTGTTTTAAGTGAATAAAATGTTAAACAGCTGATCTGTCTCCATGGTGATCCAATAACTGATGAATTCTGTCAAATGCTGCTGTGTCGCCATAGAAAGTTGTTTAAATGACCTAGACTAAAAGTGACTTAGTCCTGCATTGAGATTAAAAATCTTATTTACAAGAGTAAAGCAGTACAATAAACACATTACAGAGATAAACACACAGAGTAATCACAAACACAGATCAACATCCTGAGTCACAGAGAAGAAAAGTTAATTATTCAAAGCATCTACAACCTGAAGCATCTTATAATAAATAATAATGTATACTTTATTGATCCCGCGAGGGGAAATTTGTTTTTACACTCTGTCTAGTTAACATGCAGGCTGAAATACACACACATGTACAAACAGTGTTTGTGCACACTGAACCAGCGAAGCACTTGAACCAGCGACCCTCTGATTCCCAACCCAAGTCCCTACAGACTGAGCTACTGCCTCCAACACCTTCAGACTACTTTAAAAAAGATTTAAAGAGACAGACACAGATCATCCTGCAGGAGATTCCAGACCGCATGAGCATCTTACCTTAAAGTCCTTTTCTCCATTTTTTTTATTTGGATTAAAAAAAGAAAGTTCTAACCTCATATCCAAAAGTACGACGGAGGATTTAGGCCATGTTAAAAAAATATTATTATTTTTTAATTTTGAGATTAAACTCATAAATTTACAAGAATAAAGTCGTAAATTTACGACTTTAATCTTGAAATAAAAAAATAAAAAAATGTAACATGGCCGTAATCCTCCGTCGTACAAAAGTGTTTTTAGTAACTTGCTGTTTTTTCTCCATCCACATTTATTATGAGTACAATATATTAATAACAGATAATAATGCTCGAGTACTAAACAGGATTAACGGTCTCTAAATTCTATAAACACGTTTCATTAGAGTTGTTTTAAATATGCAGAACCCTTACAAAGACACATGCTTCATATTCTCATACCTCTCTATGATCAGTTCTAGGTGCTGAACCGCCTACAAAATATGTCCTCAAGGGGACGGGGGAGAGCTTGAAGCCGACCTTTTCTGGACAACCAAATTCAATTCTGTGGAAACATAACGGAAACAAAGTGGTGGAGTTTGACAGCAGAGAGGAACAGGTGTACGGAGCGTACAAAAACAGGATCACTCTCGACTGGGTCTCGGCAGAGCTCGAAATCACCGGCCTCAAGTTTGAAGACAGAGGACTCTATGAAGTGGAAGTCGACATCAACAACATGTTACATCTGTCAGAATTCAAACTGGAGGTCATAGGTAAGTTTAACATTGAACACACAGATTATAATCAATCCATCCTACAGCTGGAAGAGGGTTAAAAGTAAAACCTCAGAGTAAAATGTGAATAGAAACAGAAAGGGATGATTTGAAACATTGAAACCCCGTATGGAATTGAAAATAGCACAAAGACAACCTGCTAAATGTTGAAACTGTGAAATGACATTGTTTAATTTTCACCAAAATGTCCAACTTTTTGGAAACCAAAGTTTTTTTCATGAACATTTTCAACATTTTTTGAGCCGAAATTTTTCACAAAAATGTTCAACTTTTTTTGATTTTGAATTAAATTTAATTCCAAAATGTAGGTTGGTGAAAGTTGGTGCAGTAGCACAGAAGCTGATGGAACATGTCAAAGTTTAGAAGGTGAACTGGCTACAGGTTAGTAACATGATGGTTTAAAAAAAAGATGTGAAGGGCGTCTGTGAAAGTCTGTGCTGAGGTGAAACAATTAGAATCTTGTTGTTGTTTTTTTTACTTACAATTGAAATGAATGTGGGGCGTTCATTGTCTGCAAACTTTACATCATATAAAAAGATTCAGAGAATCTAAAGAAATATCTGTAAGTGGAGGACAAGGCCAACAAAACAAACTGTGTGTCCCTGAGACAGCCCTGCTTTAAAAACAGATTCTGTAGTGGACACGGCATTGGCTCAGAAACAGAGTTCTAGCTAGCTGGAAAAAAACTCCTTAATGTACGTCGCTTTGGACAGAAGCATCTTGTGAATGAACTGTAGAATCAGGCACACAACAGAGAAATCTAAAGAAACTGCTGAAGCTGTGAAGAAAAGCTGAAACATCAGAAGATGAGTTATTTTTCCAGAAATCAGTTTTAAACTTTGTGGCTTTAAGCCCTCAGAAGCTGAACTGAATGGATGTGCAAGGCTGATACAGATTCAGTGAGTCACACTGTTGGGCTGTAAAATCTGCTTTATGTAGAATATTACCAATGATCAACTTCAGACCTGTTATAAAACCTTTCACCACAGGTTTTATGGCTGTTGTGGGGACATCTTTATAGACTTTGTACTTTTGGCAACGTTCATATTTCAAGTCGCTCATTCAAGTCGCTCATTTCCAGTTTGCCTGCATATCACCTCACACCCATCATCCCCCCACCACTCCTCCTGGTCACACACACACATCTCTCATCCATCTGTATTATTGTATTATAGTATGTTCATATTATGTCCATATTCTTTATATTATCTGTAAACTAGTATAGCATGATCACTGCATCTTAATCTGTATATTATTATTATAGCATGCTCACTGCATCTTAATCTGTATATTATTAGTATAGCATGCTCACTGCATCTTAATCTGTATATTATTAGTATAGCATGCTCACTGCATCTTAATCTGTATATTATTAGTATAGCATGCTCACTGCATCTTAATCTGTATATTATTAGTATAGCATGCTCACTGCACCTTAACCTGTATATTATTAGTATAGCATGATCACTGCATCTTAATCTGTATATTATTAGTATAGCATGCTCACTGCATCTTAATCTGTATATTATTAGTATAGCATGCTCACTGCACCTTAACCTGTATATTATTAGTATAGCATGATCACTGCATCTTAATCTGTATATTATTAGTATAGCATGCTCACTGCACCTTAACCTGTATATTATTAGTATAGCATGTTCACTGCATCTTAACCTGTATATTATTAGTATAGCATGCTCACTGCATCTTAATCTGTATATTATTAGTATAGCATGCTCACTGCATCTTAATCTGTATATTATTAGTATAACATGCTCACTGCATCTTAATCTGTATATTATTAGTATAGCATGCTCACTGCACCTTAACCTGTATATTATTAGTATAGCATGCTCACTGCATCTTAACCTGTATATTATTAGTATAGCATGATCACTGCACCTTAACCTGTATATTATTAGTATAGCATGATCACTGCACCTTAACCTGTATATGATTAGTATAGCATGCTCACTGCACCTTAACCTGTATATTATTAGTATAGCATGATCACTGCATCTTAATCTGTATATTATTAGTATAGCATGCTCACTGCACCTTAATCTGTATATTATTAGTATAGCATGCTCACTGCATCTTAATCTGTATATTATTAGTATAGCATGCTCACTGCACCTTAATCTGTATATTATTAGTATAGCATGCTCACTGCATCTTAATCTGTATATTATTAGTATAGCATGCTCACTGCACCTTAATCTGTATATTATTAGTATAGCATGCTCACTGCATCTTAATCTGTATATTATTAGTATAGCATGCTCACTGCATCTTAACCTGTATATTATTAGTATAGCATGCTCACTGCATCTTAATCTGTATATTATTAGTATAGCATGATCACTGCATCTTAACCTGTATATTATTAGTATAGCATGCTCACTGCATCTTAATCTGTATATTATTAGTATAGCATGCTCACTGCACCTTAATCTGTATATTATAATCCTAAAAACACACTTATTTTGTAGCATTATTTATTTATATTTATTGCATCCCATTAATCCAGCCATCCAGATATACCTAATAATTCACTTTTTTTGTCTACTTCTGTAAATTTTGCAATTACTGTACATAACACAGAATTACTGTACATAGCACAGACTCTTGCACTCAATTACTGTACATAGCACAGACTCTTGCACTTTCTGCTTATTTGCACTTCTGGTGAGATGCCAAACCTCATTTCGTTACTCTATACTTGTATATGTGTTATGACAATAAAGTTGAATCTCATCTCATCTCATCTCATCTCATTATTCTATCACATTCTACACTTCAGGCGGTCAGAACAATCCTTTTCTCACTTTAAGTTACCGTGGGCAAGTAACTGTAACAGGACTCTAAAAGGAACTGAAGGGCTCTGTAGAGGGGAGATCAAATATTATTTTTTTATATGTGTGCTATCAAATGGGTTTTATAGTCCTGGATCTACTTTTTTACGATGGCTTTGGTATCAGCCGAGAGGTGTGCCCTTGATAAAAAACTAATTGTTCAAGCATCTGAAGACGGTTTATATTCAGTGTCAAAGAAGAAGTTACTTTCACTCTCTTAAGTCACAGAACATAGTGAACACCGTGTGTGTGTGTGTGTGTGTGTGTGTGTGTGTGTGTTTGACCTCAAACCCGTTCTGATAAGCAGTGTATGCCCTTTATACCCGACATTATGTTATCATATTATTCACTTGTTTGCACAGATTTTATGTTTCTTTGTATACAAACCAGGACCCGACACATATGGGACTTTTGGGGCCGACATATCGAAATAATTTGCTCAAGGGCGACATCTGCTGGATCAAAAAATCACATATAAAGCCTTTAAACACTAATTTATACTTAGAAATGAACAATTATTATTAAAAACTATGTAAAACATAAATAAACCTCGTTAAATTGGCTCATATCAGAGATAAAATTAGTCGATACCAATAGTGATGTGATGAGCTCATATCATATCAGCATCCGATACATACGTAACATACTACAATGATTTCAGTATGTATTCATTTATTTCTTTATTTTTTTACATGTTTCTTCAAGACAAGGTTGCCATGCCGACCATATCTTGTGAGATAAACAAAGACGGTGGCTCCGATGTTTCTGAGGTCCGGGCGACGCTGCTGTGCTCTGCAGACCCCACCCCACCTGAGTCCATGATGAAGTTTGAGTGGAGAGCACGGGGAAAATCACAACCGGGACACAAGTTTAATATTCCTCTGGGAGACGAACGAGATAACGAAGAATACAGCTGTTCAGTCAGCAACCCTGTGAGCAGTGAGACGGCGACATTCACAGCAAAGGATTGTTATCACGGTATGATCTCATGTATAACTGGACGTTCAGGTTTCTGATTTGGTCATTTTGAAGTGAACGTTCTTTTAGAAAACTTGAAGCTTTGTTGCCAAGTTACACTATTTCTCACCAGGGTTTGACAGGAAGTTGAATGAAAATATATATATTTATATATTTTATTGAACCTTTATTTAACCAGGTTGGTCCCATTGAGATTAAAAACCTCTTTTTCACTGAGACCGAGCCGAGACAGGCAGCAGCAAAAACACAAAGTTACAGACGGAAACACAAAGAGAGACAAATTACAGTTTACAAAACACAACATTTTGGATTAAAATAGAACCATCTATGAGTCATATCTGGGAATCAGTCGTTCAAACAGCTAAAACATCGAGATCCTGTAGAATCTGCTTCCATGTCTTTCATTTTAGATTTAAAAACATTTAAGGACTCCAGCTCCTTGAGCTTTAAGTCATTCTGTAACAGAGTCCAGGCTGAGGGTGCAGAGGACCCATAAGCCCTTAAGATCCCTTTGACTCAAGGATTCAAAGTTGTTAACAAAATAAACCAATCAATCAATTTTTTATCAATGTTAACTCATAACAAGTGTTATCTCGAGACACTTTACAAAAAGCAGGTAAAAGACCTTACTCATTGTTATATTACAAAGATCCGGCCTATCCATCATGAGCACTTTAGCAAAGCAGCAAAAGTTACAGTGGTAAGAAAAAACTTCACAGGCCTAGACTGCACCGGGCTCGGAAAGGGATAGGGGGAGAAATGGGATAAAATGCAGAAAGAGGGATAGAGAGCAAGGGGGTGGGGGGGTGATGTTCTGGCAGGGCGTCAACCAAAGATCTCGAGGAGCCTAAGAGAGCTCAAGAGCTCTCCTAAATCAATGTTTTGGTTGTTGTAAAAGAGAGACTCTATATTCTCCTGTTGTTACAGTTCTACAGTAAGTTGTTTTGGTGATGAGTGATCTACGTCCCTCTAACTTTTGACTCTTGTGTTTCTGAAGATAATTCATCTGTAGCTGTGGCTGTCAGTCTGGCTGTCGTTGGTTTAATTGGTTTAATCGTACTCGGGTTGATCATCATCTTCTGCAAAAAGAGACAAAAAGGTAAAGTAGAAAGAAATTACACTTTCATTAGAAAAAATGATACTGAAAACATTTCTCAGGATGTAGATTCTAAAGAGAACGACCTGATAAGTAACATGTATGTTTATGAGGTCCAGGTATTCAGAAAGCGATGTGGAACAGTTCAGCGCTCAATACGTTTTCAAAGAGGAAAGGTAGTTTGTGAAGAAAGACAATAATGTTCCCCATTGTCTGAGTAGGTTCTCAGTCATCCAGGTCATGGTACATTTGAAGCTACATTCAAAATCAACTGGACTGGTTGAACATCTTTTCTTTTTTCTTTTTTTACTTTATTTATATAGATCCTTTCAGACAAATTAAATTGCAGTTCAAAGTGCTTTACAAGAGTGCAGAAAAGTTATTGACAAAAAAGTAGTTTATAAAATCACTGAGAGACTAATGCACACCAATAAGAATTAAAAAAATATAAAAATTAAAAATTAA